GTTTGTCATTTTAGCAAACTTATGTGGGCAGCAAACCAGAGCATAACACATTCAGGTAAAACATATATTGCATGGATTGTCGATGATCTTAAGGTACTGTAGGTGACTCCACAGATGATGGCATTATATAAAGATATATAGCAAATGATGCTCATCAGCAGTTTCACCATTAACTCCTTAATTATGTACCATGGCTTTTGAACTACCATATCCTTTTTTCTTTCTACTCCTTCTACAGATACTGCATTTTCAATCATTGCTCACACTTACAACAATATATCTTTGGGCTCATCCCTCACTGCAAAGGACAACAATAACTCTGTCTGGTGCTCACCATTTGGGGAATTCGCTTTCAGTTTCCAAAAGATTGGTAGTGATGGTGGCTTCATACGAGCCATATGGTTTAACAAAATACCCGAAAAAGACTATTGTCTGGTTAGCCAATGGCAACAATCTAGTGCAACAAGGATCCACAGTCGAACTCACTGCACATGGCCAGTTGCAACAGGCAAACAAAAAGGGATTGCGGACTTTGGTGGTACTGGAGTTGCCTATGCAGCCATGCTTGACACATGAAATTTCGTTTTGGCCAATGGAAATTCAAACAATTTGAGGGAGAGTTTTGATCAACCAACTGATACAATCCTACCAACAGAGACTCTAAAACTAAACAATGCACTCCACGCTAGCTACACGGCATCAAACTACTCATGAGGGAGGTTCCAGCTTGCACTACAATCTGATGGAGCACTCACGCTTTATACAACAAATTTCCCATTGGATACTCCTAATTATGTCTATTGGTCAACACACACTGAGGGTAGTGGTTGTTAGAATTCTTAGTTTGTATATGTATTTTCAGATTAGGAAGAGATGTATTTTCTGGAGATTTCAGCTAGAGAGAATGAAGAGAAATGAGGAAGGCACTGTTCTATTGAATTCTTACAATCTGCAGCTTACATAGTGTGTCTGACAGAGAGAGAAATGTGATTCTCTTCTAACAGAATTACAACTGTCACCCTATTAGGTGCTTACACGTGTCATACCAAATCTAAGCTAGAGAATCCACCTAGACTATGATCTAATGGTTCTCATTACATCATTTAAAATAGACAGAACAGAAAATAAAAAATGACTTCTGCCTAAGAAATCATGCAGAACATGACTTCTGCTCTAAGAAATCAGGCAGAACAGGATTATATTTCAACAGTGGTTTCCAGGTCATCTTTAACCAGTCTGGCTCTATTTACCTTACAGCCACAAACGGAAGCATACTTTATATTCATGCGGTACATTGTCTATGTCAGAATCATTCATCACCTTCCATTTCCTACCAACTGGTTTTTTAATATCATACACCTGCATATGCTGCTGGTGTTCGAAAAATCGGCCTAGGCGGCCGCCTAGGCGCGGCCTGGGCGGGTCTGGCGTCCTGGGCGGATCCTTCATCTCCGAGAGCTTTAGGCGGCACCGTGTGGAAAACCAAGCGAAGAAAATTTGGCTGGATCTGCTCCGCAAGCTTGCGGCGCCAGCACCAGGCGAAGAAGATGACCTAATGAAATACGCTATAAATAGAATTTTAAAAGTATAACCGCGCGGCTATATTCTTTAAATAGAATATTTTCAATGTGTAGCTATCCCCTTTAAATAGCACAATCCTGATTTCTCTTTTTTAATTACTTTATTAGTTATGTTTTAATTATTATTTACTTAGTGAATAACTAGTATTTAAATATTTTTTTAAACTTAAAAATTAAAAATAATAATTACCGTTTATTAAGTAATATAATTTATGAAGTTAATTAAAATATTTATTTATTCACTAAAGAAAAAAATAATTAAAACATATAATTACAAAGAAAGCAATTAACAATTTAGCACTTTCACGTTTAATAATATATTATACACATACGTACGTATTTTTCAGTAATACATCCGTGTTCTGCACACATCTTAAAGAGTCAATAAAGTTCACATTTTTTAAAAAGCGAATGTACAATACTGGTATTATATAGGTACGTACGTTTTTGTCATGTTTAATATATGTATTTTTTTACAAAAATTTCAAAAAGTTCACGTATTATACACATAATTCTCACATATTATTGAATAAAAATAATATATATTAAAAAATGTAAATAATTTATATTAAAAATAATATAGTGGTCGAACATTTAAGTTGTAATTTGCAAAAATTTTTGCCGAATAAAACACGTACGTATTTTATTCATATTTTTTTCCATTCCGTATTTTAATAACTATGAATGAAAGTACAGTTGCGATGCTATACCAGTTATATATATATATATATATATATATATATTCATACAGCCACACAACTATACTCAGTTTCTTTCTTCTTCTTTTTTTATAAAAAAAATAGTATAGTCGCTCGACTATACTCGGATTTTTCCTAATTCTTTTCTAAAATTGTATCGCCGAGCGGCTATACTTATTTTTCCCTAATTTTCTTAAACATAGTATAGCCGAGTGGCTTTATTGTTTTTGACGTAGCGGCTAGCTCTACGCGGGTCCTTTTTTTAATGGCTTATTATCACAAAGCTAGATTTTGGAAAAGCTAGATTTTTTAATGGGTTTCATATAAGGTTATGAACACTGTTTGTCCCAAAGCTAAAGAATTAGACAGTAAATGTGAAACTATCTTGTTCCAAACCAATCTTGAAAAGTCAAACGTGGCAGTCCCAAAAATGATAAAGTGGAGTGATATAACTCTGCCAGAAAAATGGATCTTGGATGAAGTAGCTCTAAAAAGGCCTCTTGAAAATCAGGAGCCTACACGGATCTCGCAATTTGTTGATGGAAAGTTAGAAATACAATTCTCTAGTGCTAGAAGAACTAGGATTGATTTGGCACCCTCTAGATCTAACATAGAACCACACATATCGAGCACCTCCTCTGATAGAGCTTATGACCTAGAACATGAAAGAATGGTTCTAGCAGGACTTAGGAGAACTCAAGAACAAATACAGAGGCCAGCCTATAGGTTCGAACAAACCATTCCAGACTTAGGTTTCAGAAGAAATCCTCCTCAACCTGAACCCACATTTTCAGATGTAGAATATGAAATAAATATGATAAAATCTTTTGAAATAGAACACGAAAAGATTAAAAGAGATTATATGAGTATTGAAAATGATGATAAAAGAATTTGGTTTGAAACAACCTTTAGGAAGGATAGGCAAGACTATCTCTGGAAAGCCCACACCGCTTTCATAAAAGAAAAGAAATTCAACTATTTTTCTTTGCATGGTTAGATTGGTGTGCTAAAAAGTATGACATCCCTGAATATAGGAATAATATAGAAATGATAGGAAGCCCCTTCTCGACTTATACTTCCAAAGATGGGAAGTCAGTCAAAGCCATACATCCACCCGAGATGGTGATTAAACAAAAGGATGTAATTGCAGCTCCCTACAAAGAAACCACTTTCCTTGAAGATAGTGCCAATAATTTTCACACAGCTAGTAAAGAAGATGTAGGTGTTGTCATTCAGCAGAATAACTACACCAACCTATTTCTGCAGTCTTTAGGAAAGCAAGTTACTGGGATTGAAACATCTGTTTCAATGGGGGAACATAAATCCGAACCAGGACCCTCAGAAACCAAAAGAAATAGAGAAGTGAGTTAAGCGTTCTTTAAACCACCTCCTGCCTTAGATAATAAAAATTTTAAGATGGGAAAGACCTTATCTGAAAACGAAAACTTTGTTGACGTCTTGGCCAAAAAGTTATCAGGGTTAAATTTGTCAAATAAAGGAAAGGGTCCTCAAGTGTTAGTTCCCACTGAAGGAGAAATAGATAACCTGGAAACAATGTTTAAGGAAGAGCAACTTAAAATTAATAGGTTAATGACTGAAAAGAGATTTACTCAAACTGCTAAGACTAAAAACTACTACCCTAGACCCACACCAGTTGATTTACAGTTTGAGGAAGATGGAATGTGGAATTCCGCTCAATATGACGGAAGTTCCATAGTTGAGTGGAATATTGATGGTCTGACAGAATACCAGATCATTAATACAATGAAACATATGATGATGTACACTACAACCTCTAAGATAAAAGGAAATTAATGGAGATAGGAGGGTGGCTGAAGCCATTATCGCCGGCTTTGTCGGTCAGTTGAAAGGATGGTGGGATTTCCACCTAAGCGACTCAGCTAGGACCCAGATCTTAAACGCTCAAGAGGCCGAGCTAGCACCTAATATATATATATATATATATATATGTCACAAAACACCCCTGAGGTTCATGCACCTATCACAAATGGTCCCTGCGAAATTGTTTAATTTTTTCATTTAAAACTCATAAAATTTTGGTTTTCTTCTTAGCACTGACATGTGGTAATAGTAATATCAGTTAACATTCCCCCTCAATCTCAGCTGGGTTCAGACCTAGCCTGAGATCGGAACAATGTCAAATGAACACTGGACTATAAAGGCCCTTGGTAAGAATATCTGCAACCTGACCATCTGTGGGAATATATTGCACAACTAGATCTCGACATTGAACTCGTTCTCTAATAAAATGATAATCGATCTCCAAATGTTTAATACGAGAGTGAAAAACTGGATTGACATTAAGAGCCAAGGCAGACATATTATCACTATGAAAAAATAGGTGCCTCTAGCAGTGTCATATGCAAATCACTAACCGATCACCCAACCCTGTTTTAAATCTAATATAAGATGTTTGAGTAAAAAATGGTTCAAGTTAATCAATCTTTGCAAGAGATCATTCCATTAAATCACCGTATTGTTTATTCTGTTTGATGGGTTATTTATGCATGGGAAATTGAATTAACTTTCTGTTTAATCTATCATCAGGATTGCACAATTAAAAAAGATGGACAAAGCAAGACATAGAACAGATATGTTTTGTGTCAAAGGAGTATATTTGTTTTGGATCTGGTGAGAAAATACACATACATCTCTTTCACATACAAGTTTCAATGTCTACAAAATTGGATGATTTTCATCCCTAATGGTTGAAAATGTTGAGAAGAGAGACTCTGGCTTTGATCAAGCGCCCGAACAGGCACTCAAGTCCTTCTATATCTTGAATGTTTGCCTCCAAATCCTGGAGCCAAATTTGCACATTCTCAACTTGCATTGCATAATCAGATTTCTTAGACTTGTGAATAATAAGGGCATTCAATGCACCATACACCTTCTCAAGTTCATTCGTATTTGCAGTTTCCTCACCCTCACAAGATACTCTTTTGGGCTGCACTAGCTTGGAAACTAATGACCAACTGCTTGACTTTGATTTCGAACCAGCTATGAAGGACAACAAGGATTCAAACACAGCAACAGTTACTGCATCTAACTCTTTCAACATGTTGATCACAGCTGGAGTTTCATGGTTTTTGTCGGTCCCATAACTTTCCTTGACCTTGAAGGCCTTGTTCATTGCCT